GTTGAAATTTATCGCCAACAAGTCACAGGCGCCTACTGTAAAGAATCCGGCCTACACATACATAAAAAACCTGACACTCGCGTGTCGCGTGAGATGCTTTTCAGGTTAAAAATACCAAACATAAACACTGACGACCCAGTAGCCCTACTTAATAATTAAACTAAACAGAAATCATGAAAGGTCCGTCCCAATTCCTCAAAAAAAACAAAAAAAAACAACGATGAATCTGAAATAGTATATTAAGATTTTCAATGACATTTTAAGTTACATCCTGTATTATAAGCTACGTTTACGACAAATGTACTCGCTTCTTGTTCTTCCCAAACCTATCACTGAAACATCGATAATTAATGCTCATCAATCTTTATATCTTACCATAAAAAGTCCAAAATATTCCACACTAATTTGCTACAGGATGGTGCTACTTGCAAATGTAGGGTTTTGTTTGTTTGTTTAAAGCTACACAATGGGCTATCTATGCTGTGCCCACCAAGGGTATCGAAACTCGCTTTTTAGCGTTATAATCCTTTTGGTCAGAATTGATACTCTTACTAAAAGAGTGAGTTAAAAACTACAACAAGCCATCTTCCAAATTCAGTGACAATCCCGACCAAAGACCTAGCTGTGATGAAACAAATGTACGTAGCTCAAAACCGTAATTGGTCAAGGTAGTTTTTGGTACCTAACAGAAGCGGAATCAAGAGTGAATTATAATATAAAAAAATTAAATGCATAATTTGGCTGGAAAGCTTAATAGTTTCACTTGTTCTTTAGTAGATTTCATATGCACATGTTGATTACATTGCACAACAAAACATTTGTTGCTGGAAAAAATTCAAGTGATTTGGAATAATTTGATGATGCTGATTAAAAAAATCAGAATTTGTCCATCACCTCTAGATTTTGAGTTATTGTAAAATCTCAATGTTTTATCAGCACTATTCGAAATACCATGCAATCAACTCAGTACAGTAGATTTATGCTGTAAAATTAAGTTTACTTAAACAGTTTAATGGGTAACTTCAAACACAGACTGTATTGGTTTAAAATTCCAGATATATTGTTCATATATATATATATATATATATATATATATACTATTTGTTCTCCATATAACTGTAGCAACTTGCACCACTTTTGCTCCATTCCCACGCTCACTTGCTTTGCCAGAGAATAACGAAACCCTCACGTGTTCAGTTTGCTAGAACATTCGAGAAGACCCTTGACTAAGCATAAAAGGGGCAGAGTCAGACACCTCTCTCTCAGTTGCCTCTCACTCACTCAGTTGGTCACTTTGCCTCGCTCCATGCACAGTCAAAATAAAGTCCGAGCTTCTTCCTCGTATCATTCCCTGTTATATAATCAAATTCTGCAAAATGTTGTTTTTTAATCTTTTAAACTAGTTCTGTAAACATTAATTCCTTTATATTTTTACAAAATCATTTGAAATGCTGGCTGCCTCCAGTTCAAGTAAAATCCAAAAGTGCAAAAATCACCCAACCAGTTTCTGCTACATTTGTGTAAAATATATTACAGTTTCACCAAAGAAAAACATCACACACAAGTTAAAGATAGCTTACTCCCACTATTTTGGGTGTAAAATTGTGGACCAAAAAAAAATACTGGGCTCTATATGTGTGTTGTACAGTTTACACATCTCACTTGACGACACAGTGGTTGAATAAAAAGAGAGTAAGTATGCCATTTGCAGTTCCCATGATATGTCGTGAGCCCAAATATCATCTAACTGACTGTTAGTTTTGCATGACTAATGTTTCTGGATATTCAAGCAAAACTGAACAATACATTAAATATCTATATATTGCATTTGCAATGAAATGGAGGTGTTCTTCCATTGCCACATCCAACAGCTAATTGGGAAACAGAAGAGTTATCCTGTCAAGAAGATAATGAATCATCTTCATCCTTTTCACCTAGTAATTCTATTCCTCAACATAAACTGCCTCATCTGTTCACACAAGAAGAGCTAAATGATCTTATTCGTGACTTTTCTCTATCAAAACAATATGGGGAACTTCTTGGTTCTCATTTAAAAACAATGGAATTTATTAACTCCAGGAACAAGATTTCCAACTTTCCGAAGTCGTCATCAAAGTCCTGCTTCTCACTACAGAATGCAAGATACTTTGTGTTTCTGTACAAATGTTGATGCACCAATGAAAGAATTAAGTACTGATCATCATACTCAAGAATGGAGACTTTTTATCGACTCATCTAAAGATAGTCTGAAAACTGTATTTTTGCACAAGGGGAACACTAAGCCATCGATTCCTGTTGCTCATGCTGGGAATACGAAATAAACATATCAAAGCATGCTGATTATATTTGAGGCCATCAAATATGATCATCATAGGTGGAACATATATTGTGATCTAAAAATTAATGCACTCCTTCTTGGACTGCAGATGGGGTATATACCAAACATTGTTGCATTTTTTTCTCTCTGGGACAGCCAAGATGATAAAAATCATTCCTTCTTAAGGCCGGTTTGTGCAGAGCTATACATAATATGTATATGTAAAGAAAGTGATATGGTACATAAAAAGAATAATTCTTTCATATAAGCGCACAGAATGGATACCAAATGTAGCGTAACACGTTGACACCAAGCTCCCATAACACACCACTAGATCTAACATTCTCAGACTGTGGATTTACATCATACAATATAAAAGTTCAGTTTACATGTTTATTATAAAGAGACATCACCAGCTTAAACAATATAATTTTATTCAAAGCAGATTGTTCTCTACTAAAAATAGTTAAGTTAGTCAGGCTAAATATATTATTTACATTTTTTTTTCACTCTTATATCAGTGGTTTGCAATGCAGCATTTTGGTCGTAGATCCACATCTACATACTTATCTATATACAGTAGTGTTTTTGTAGATCTTGTGTGTGTTCGGATCTTCGCATAAAGCTACTTAAGGCCTATATGCGCTAGCCGTTCCCCATTTTGAACTGACAGACTAAAGTGGAGGTAGTCAGCCAACAACACCTATTACCAACTAGTAGATTTTGATTGTCATACTTAACAATGTACTCTTAGTCCGGCACGCTAACCTTTGAGCCACACTTGGCTAGAGGGAGTGGAGAATTAAATCAAAAATACTAACAACAAAATACTAAACTATTCTATTTTATGTGTAATTAACAGTTGCAAGAGCTAATTAGAATTGAAATTAGGTCATTGCTTGTTTGTTTTATTTCTCCAATCGAAATTAAGACAAAAGAAAAATGCTATAATTCTTACGTTGGCATTCGTTAGCATTGGCGGCCGTAGCTCTTGCCCATGGTAGATCATTGTAAAATGGTAAGCATTCATTGCAATCAGGTCCCGTGGTGTTGTGATGACAACGGCAAACCAATCTTTGCTCTTCAAGTCTTTCTCCAGTGACGACACATTCGGTAGCATGTCCGTTACACTTACACCTGAAAACAACAAAAAAAAAACAGTAGTAATACAGGGGTTGGCGATACACACAAACTTGGCAATGATAGAAAAAGAACGGCAGAGATGGTTAATTCAATACTTGATATGAATAATTGATATAAATAATATGAAACGTCAGTTGTTATTCTGCGGATCAGAGGACAACCTTAGCAAGTAGACGTTTTAATAAAAATATTAGTTTTGTCTTGCGATATACATTACATTCCAGTGTATCGTCTAACAAAAAATAGACAACCAGATAACTGTGAGAACCATTTATTTACATCAACGTTTATCCTTACGATTTTTCACATTTTTAGAGAGTTAACCTCTTGAAAAAAGCTGTAAGACGAAACGTCGCGGTTTTTTTTTCACAGGTCACCAATTGATCCTTTTTTTCTTGAAAATACAGTGTTTATTATTGCAAGTTGGATGGCATTACACTCGTACCTGAAAGTTTAAAATACAGTGTTTATTATGCAAGTTAGATGGCATTACACTCGTACCTGAAAGTTTACATTAAAGTGTCAATACTTGTTATTCTTGTAACAGCATCTGTGTTATACCAAAAAACAGTGTTTATTATGGCAAGTTAGATGGCATTACACTCGTACCTGAAAGTTTACATTAAAGTGTCAATATTTGTTATTCTTGTAACAGCATCTGTGTTATACCAAAAACACAACATATCTCTATAAATCTAGCAGATTTATAACAGAAAATAAATTACAATTATAACCACTCGAATTTACCTCAAACATTTCAAAATATCAACTATTGTAACTATTCAGTATATTTCCCTTGCTTTAAACATATGTTCATGGCTAACTCATAAATTATAAAAAAGGTCTAAACAATATAGATAAACAAACAAATACTTGTTTATTTTTAGATTTATGCACAAACATAACTACTGATCAGCTAATCTATTTTGAATCTTCAGTTATTTGGTGGCGCCATCTTTCGGTAACACTTAAAACATTTCTTGGAATTTATTGAAAGCAAAATGCTTCTCACTTATCGCTCATGTCAATATTTGGTTCAAACAAAATAAAAAAGGTGTAGAAAGTTTGTAACTTTGTATTACAGCGTAAAGTTGTTTAAATTTAAGTCTTTTCATTAAAACTTTATTTACAACTTTATTTTTTGGGAAATAAAACCACGAACTCTTGAAAGTTTCATGAAGATCCAACTAAACAAACTGAAGCAATAACTGGGAATGGTTCCATGTAGGTACAAGCTTTAGTACAAATAACCGAATTTTGAGGCCTATCGTTAAAGATAACAAATGGAAATAAAAAGTACAAAATTCTCTATTATAATCTCTTTTAAAAAAATAAAAAACTAGGATGAAATTTCAATGTCTTGATTAATAAAACAACACATTAAGGCAAAATTTGCGAGAATTATACATTAAAAGTATTAGTGACTGAAGCAATAAACACAATATCATTTAGACTCTCCTTTCGGTGTTTTTAAACGTTTATTATCACGATTACCTCACAAATTTTCCATTAAGTCGCATTATTTATTAATTTGGGTACATTTGGATATAACACCTCGTACTAACTAATTACAAATTAGACTATACTTTTTACACATCACAGAACCAAGATAGGGAGACGTAAACCGTGTTGGTCACGTACGTCTGTTTAATATCTTGGAAAGAGAAAGATCAACACATTAATTTCGCAGCGTTTATTTCTAAAAATCACACCTTGAAACCCTTTCTTCATTGTAATGTGAACGTTCCTCTCACCCGGTGTTCGACCCATCAAACAACAGATTCATCAAGAACATTTTGAGCTTTTTATATGCAAAGGGCGGTATAAAGTCACACACCGCACACAGATGACCTTAAGACACAAGCAAATACCTCGTTCCTCAATGTAAACTAGATCAGAAATTTAATAAAAAAAAATAATTACTTACTTTCCTCCTACCGCAAAGTCACTGATGGCATAGTAGTACGACTTTAGAACTTTGGGATCACCAAATATCTCATCACCAAATGTATTAATCCGATTCAAAGAAATCCGTATTGATGTGGCAGTTACCCATTCCTGGGGAAAATAATGCAACACTAGTTTTGTAAAGATATAAATACAGTTCATTTGAGGTCGCGATGTTTTATATTACAATTATCTGCAAGATTTTTTACAGATTCTGGTTTAAGATGGCGCTTTAGATTTCCTACCTATTTATTACACTAATCTGCTGATGAGTTCATAGAAGTTACACAATATCTTTTAGGTCTTAATCGATTACATGGGATCTAAATTACAAAGGCAATGAATAATCTCATCTGTAGAAATAACAAACGTGTAAACGTACGTTGATACTTTATTGATGAGTTCTACATTGACTACTTGAATAGTTAATTAAAGAATTAACATTTTTTATCTTCTGGTTTCGATATTAGAAAAGACGCATATGATAATGTATAAAATAAAAGCCTAGAATATCTATTTGAGGTTTGAAGTTTCTAAGAAATTTCCTTAAATATCGAGCCAATTTTGGTAGCGCCATCTGTCGACAGCAACCGTAGGATACTAACACTTAAGTTACTTTTTGTTTTATTAAAGAACTACATTCATTTATACTGCCCAGAAACGTTTATAGGATCTTAGCAAAAGAAGATCTTTATTTGACCCTCTGAATACAGTTTTATCCAAAAGATATTTAAGATCCTTTAGTGAAAATAAGTGTACATATACATATACTTATAACAAATAAAACACCTGGAAACGTGGAACATTTTACTAAAAAAGGTTAATGTTACTAAGAGATGTCTTAGATATCTACAAATTTCATTGCAAATAATTGAGTACGTGTTTAAAATTTTAAAAATAAATTATAATTCCACGTTTGAGAAAAATGAGGTTACTTCGAATATATTTAAATTGCCCAAATATTTGTATCAAATGTATGTATGATATTGCACCACAATAATGCAAAATATTGTAACCAAGACGGCCTGCTGATTGCTGAATCATGAGCTCCAAATCATATTTTGTATCGATTCTGATATTAAAGTTTATTTCTGGGCAAAATTATACTTTAAAAATTAATTATTTCCATACGTCAGTTGTTTTACATAATAATTCACAATTTTTGTTTAATTTAACATTGTAATGAAATTAATTTATAACATAATTATCAAATATATAATTTCGATTTTCACTTACCTGTAAAATTGGACTATTTTCAAAATAGTAAGCACTGGGTCTCCCTTCCAAAGTGCTGAATGCTACATTTCCTCCTGTAAGCGGCGATATATCACTAAATTCGGATGTGCACAATGCCCTCGTCTCGTCATCCCTGCTGACATACGAGCTGTCGGGAAGATTGTATGTTTCCCTACAGGTGGCGCTGTAATACTGGTAAGGAATCCAAGGTGTATCTTCACTTGTGCGTTTGTAAATAGCAAAACTCTCAGGCCTACTGGTATGAAACTTTAGACGAACGTATGTGATGTCAAAGGCTTTACCTAATTCATATGCGAAAATATCAAACTATTCGTCACTTTTATTTTGAAGAAATTATATATAATGTTGATACAACATCAAAATCACACACTATTTAATTCATAATGTCTTTCGGTACACTATCGTAATTTTTTAGATTCAAAACGATAAATTTACGGGAGATAGCATAATAAATGAATTCGAGAATTTTACAATGTAATTTTTTTTCCAAACGAACTTAACATTATGGTGTTCTTGTTATATGATGCTTAGCCGCAGGAAATTTTGTATTATACTGGCATTTCAGTAAATTAAATCAATATTATCTTCTTATTTCAACTCGGTTAAAATATTTAGTTTCTGAAAACTAACCATACAAAACAGTTTAACCAAACTTGTATTTATCTTTATTACACAATTATAACTTCTTGAAATAAGGTCCTTAATCAGAGGTGGCAGAACTTTTTTTTTGGGGGGGGCGATGTTTGAGGGGTACCTTATTTGCTATGTTTAACCACAATCATTGGATTCAAAACTAAGGCAGCAACTTTCCGTACTAGTTAGAAAATAATATATTCCCCCTCCAAAGAAGCACTTCGCTAATGAGTTCAAAATTGGGGGGAAGGGGAGGCCTTGCCTTCCCTGGTTCTGCTACCAATGTCCTTAATGAATAGGAAAGAAATTTTTTTTAATAATAAATTTATCGAAATAACTGTAACGATAGCAAAGAAATAACCAACTATCTTAAGGCACCAAATGGTGATACAAAACAGTCCCGATTTTTCCTCCTCTTCTACTTAGTAAACTGTTACGTTTCACATAATTGTTTTTCTATAGTGAATCTCTATATATATAAAACACAAAAATCTGTGTGTTTGTCTGTTTGTTCTTTATCTCACTACTCCTAGGTCGCTGGGCCAATGTCAAACAAATTTTGTGGGATGATAGTCTAGAACAAGGGACATGTTAATGGGAGTTTCAAAACCACCTCCACACCCCCATTATTGCCGTTATTTAGCGTTTATTATCTTTGATGTAAGTTAATGTAAACTACATTCATAGATGACGCCACGCCCTTAAACTAAAACAAAAAATCAAATACACACACACATATAACATATATCGATAGAGAGAGAGAGAAAGCACAAAAATGTGTGTGTGTGTGTGTGTGTGTGTCTGTTTGTCACTTATCTAACTAGTCCTAGGTCGCAGGGCCAATCTGAGCCAAACTCTGTGGGGTGATAGTTTGGAACAAGGGTCATGTTATTGGGGGTTCACAACCCCCCATTATTGATGTTATTGAGCATTTGTCATCTTTGACGTAAGTTAACT